TCTGAGCCTTTAGGTTTGGGCCGGGGAGGAGCTAGCCAGCGATCATTGAGCCAGCGATCATTGATGGTGGCAGCGGTGGGGAGCTGGGGGGGCCCCAGCCAGGGCTAATAACTCACCAGAGGCTTTAGTCCTCAAAGGGAGGCCAGACTGTGGCTTAGGCCCACTCCCCAAGGGGAGCAGGGAGCAGGTAGTAGGACATCCCCTAGGGCTCCCAGTATGTGATGGGGGCAAGCTGGGCTGAGGGACACTGCGCCCACCCCCCGCCAGTGCACAAATTTTTGTGCACCGGGCCTCTAGTCCTATATAATAAAAGGGTAATATGCAAATAGACTGGTCACTATGATGTGCACTGACCACCAGGGGGGCAGACATTCAATGCAGGGGAAGCACCCACAGGGGAAGCACCACTGAGCCACAAGCTCTGCAGCAGCGCTAAGGAAGGCTTACTTCTGTCAGTCAGAATCCTCCGAGGGCTCCTGGACTGCAAAAGGGTACAGGCCAGGGTGAGGTACCCCCCACCCCCTACATGCACAAATGTCATGCACCTGGCCTCTAGTATATAAGTAATTGCTGCTATTATCATTTTCAGTGTCAGCATTGTTGTTAATCCACATTTCCTTATCCACAATTCTAAAATTCAAAAGCTGTGAAAACCAAAGGTTTGTTTTTTACTTTCATAACTAATTTTAGGGTGAAAACTAACCTCCATTGATAGGCTATTTATACTACTTAATATGGATATTTGTATTTTGCTGAAGAAATATTAATGTATTTTATTGCATTGTGCTGTCCTAGATACCAGGGGCTGATGTAGTTTGCAGCATTGTCCCAGACTTGAGAGAGATCAGTTTTGTTTTTTTCTACAGTCTAATCCAGATGCTTTTCTAAAATACTATAAAAATGTCACAGCAATGTCAAACTGTTATAAAAGTTTCTGAACACTCTTAATTTCCATAGTAATATAACAGATTAATGTCTTATTGCAGATTGATAACAGTGTACCAATTGGCACTGATAAACAGAAAAAACTGAGTATCACTTAATCATGCATAAACGCACACACACACCTTAATCCCTTTGGATAAAAGATTGAGAATATTGTTCTTACTATAATCATTGTCATCACTACATTCTGTACATGACTCTAAACCAAGCCCCATGTCTTGTTTGCTTTGGGGTCGTTAGAGGAGACCAGAAGATTAAGGCTAATCCGTTTACCCATGACTTCCACCTCGAAGTTGAAAGTGATCAAGTTCTTTCTAGTATAAGGAGTGCTCTGCTTTACTGTTTGGAGGCACGGGTCAGAACCAGAGTAGATACTATAAGAATTGAATGCCCTCCCCTTTTCTAAGTTTTTAGCATGCAGTAAATGAAGTCTCCCTGCCTTTAAGTTCTAGTTTCATA